TAAACTATTTTTTATTTTAAAGGAGTGTGCAAAAAGAATCACCAAGGTGTCAGCAGAAGCAAAACTGGAAATTGATGAAGAAAATTACTTAAATTCTTTCAGACCCAACCTAATGGATGTGGTGTATACATGGGCAAATGGAGCTAACTTCGCTCATATCTGCAAAATGACTGATGTCTTTGAAGGTATGTTAACCAGTTCTTCTTTAGGAGGTGTGAGATGGTAATTCCATAACATGGAATGGTAATTCTGAATAGCCTTATAATAGATCACAAAATTTATTAACTCGGATGTATTCAAGTATCTGCATGGCTGAAACTAAGTGGGGAAAAATTGTTTGCTATATATGTTATAGTTACACTGTTGATAATTTAGAATCTATAGAAGACTTTTTAAAAGGGATATCTCTACATTTTAAAAACTTTATGTAAAACTCAGAAATCCTAAGTATTGCAACAAAAGGTAACACTTACCTTTGCTAGTTAAAGGAAAAAGTATGTTCCAAATGCTTGCCATTAAGAAGTACAGCCCTTGAGCTTGTCCTCATTACAGTTAAGTGTTTTATTATTTGGTAATACTGAAGGTTCCTCCTGCTGTCTTACTGGTGGCAGAAGTGAGAGGTGGTAACCAAGTCTCTGTTTTGGGTTGTTCATCACAGCAGTGCAGTGCGGATATTTGAAAAGCCTAGGTGTAACCGGTCACCTGGATTACTTTGGTTCCTAAAGTTGGAGTACTAGAAACTGCTCCTTGAGAAAGAATACTTAGTTTTCATTATTTTAAAAGTAGGGTGATGTAAAGCCCAAATACTTTGTAAAAAGACAAACCATCCACCTGAAGGTCAAACCAGAATGAAAAACCTAATTTCATCTTTTACCAGCTATGTTGAAAGTTGTGAAAAACAGTAGGGTGGGTGGACCAGTCTGAGAAGACTGTGTGTAATGACTGATACTTGAAAATCCTTTTTTGCAGTTGTTACTGTCACCATTGTCTTGCCTTCCTCAAATGCTGTTTTCTTGCTTGTACATACTCAGTTGCAAATGGGAGCCCTTAAAACAAAGGAATTCGTGCACTTCTAGAATCCAATGCATAGACCCAGGAACTTTAAAGCAGGTTGCCTCTGAGCAACAGGAATCCTGGCATTCTTTGATTCTGCATTCAGCAGGTTCCTCCAAGTGCAATGATGTTTGAGCCTTACATCTGTTGTAGAGGCACCCTGAGTAAGGGGAGCACAAAAGGAGAAGCAGTAGCTGGCTTATGTTTTTATGTCGGCGCTTGACTGTTCAGAATACACAGGACAGTGACGTTTTCCATTTACTGTATTTGGGGTAAGGCTAGTTGGTCAGCTTTGTTCTAGTCAACAGTGCAAGCTCCCTCAAAACTAGATCTTAATGGGCCTGTTTTGAGAAGTCCAGCTCTTGTGGCAGGGGTTGACACATGATTGTTCCCTTAACTTTTAGTAGGCTGGTTTTCTGTGCATTGTCCAAAAGGAAGGAAAGCATTTCAGACATCTGCTGTCAGTCAGGCTTACCCTAAATGCAGTGTAGTGTTGCTAAATCCCAGGGGAGTTTGCCCTGGTGAGCCAAGTCACTATAGTGATTTCAAAGAAATTAAAAACCAGAATACAGGAAAAAAAAACCCCAAAACACACAAAACAACAAAGCACAAACAAAAAACCACAGTGTCCTTATTTTGATCTTAAGTAGAAATTTTCGTTTCAGGCATTAGTGCTTCCTATCTTAATTGTGATAGAGGTTGTTACCGTGAGGTACAGCATGATAGCTTATTAAAGCTGTAGGAGGTATATTTTCCTCTTTGCTTTTTGGGCAATGTGGAATTAGCAATAATCAGTTGCTGCGATTACAGGGAGTCCCAGCTTCACTGTTGTGCACCAGTTTTAGTAAGGAGACAGAAAATTGTCCAGCCATTAGAGAGTGTATTGGAAGCCACCACTTTTTTTAAACTAGTTTTTCATCACTCCCCTCCAGACATGCTCTTCATGAGTGAGCAATTAATGTTTGCTTTTGTGCTGCCATCCAGGCTAACAGGCACAACCAGAACTTTTCTAGACAGAAATCCTGAGTCGATGGCATGCTTCTGCTCTCACAAGCCTAAAGATAGATGGTGTTCTGCTGTTGTATTAGTATTGACGGTCAAGTGTCTGAAACCCCTTTGGGTCCACTTATGAGTAGTGTGAAGACTTGTAGCTGTGTAAGTAAATGACTGCCTTTTCAGGTTGCACCGTAAGCCTGGGTGCTCCAAGAGCAAGCGTGCTTGCCACAGACGGGAGCAGTGATTGGCTAATGAAAATGAGTTGTCATTAAGCTGAAATGTGTGTGTTTGGGAGAAATGGAAATTAGAGAAGCTTTTTAAAGGTGT